TGACAGCGGGGTGCCTGATATATGTGTGTGTGTGTGTGTGTGTGTGTGTGTGTGTGTGTGTGTGTGTGTGTGTGACTATTAGGTAGCCCTACTAAAAAAACTAACAGAAAATAACCTGTATTTTACCACATAGAAAACTTAATATCTTTGCTGTATAGTTTTCAATTATGTCTTCTCCCTTTGTGTGGTTAACTTAAGGAATAAGTCCCAAATGCCAGCAACGCCCATTCTTTCTTCCTTGGCACGTACCATCCGTTACCACCTGGGTACTCTGGCCAAAGGCTCCTTTATCATCACACTTGTTAAGATCCCTCGCCTCATCCTAACATACATCCACACTCAGCTCAAAGGAAAGGTGAGCCAGAAAATTATCAATGGTCAGACTCCATTATTGACTCGTGAAACCAGTAAGCAGCCGTTATTGGCATTTTTCATACATTTGTACATACGTTGTTGTCAAGATTGCTACCTTGTAAATGTCTCTTCACAGGAAAATGCCTGTGCTCGTTGCATGTTGAAAGCTTGTGTCTGCTGCTTGTGGTGTCTAGAGAAGTGTCTTGCATACTTAAATCAAGTAAGTGATTTTATATTAGTGAAGAAAAAAATGTAATATACAGTGGATAGAACATTCTGAGTGTTTACAGTGTCTATGACAAATCATTTTAGAATGCTTACACTGCGACAGCCATCAACAGCACCAGTTTCTGCACCTCGGCCCGTGACGCTTTCCTTATCCTGGTGGAAAATGCCCTCCGAGTGGCCGCCATTAACACTGTGGGCGACTTCATCCTGTTCCTGGGAAAGGTACCACACAGACATGTTCTGCTGTGTTGCCCACTGAAAAAAATTTGGAGTTGTTCATGTGATAGCCAGCCCTCCTCCTCAAACCAACATGTTTTCTAACCCTAAATCTACTCTCTCAGGTGCTTATAGTGTCCTGTACAGCTTTTGCTGGTATCCTGGCTTTAAACTACCAGAGAGATTATACTGTGTGGGTGCTGCCTCTCCTCATCGTTTGTCTGTTTGCCTTCCTGGTGGCCCATTGCTTCCTTTCTGTATTTGAGAATGTGGTTGATGTCCTCTTCCTCTGCTTTGCTGTGGACACAAAGTATAATGATGGCAGCCGTGGACGAGAGTACTATATGGACAAGGCTTTGATGGTGAGAATCTGTTTTTCTTATTATTTCGTATGTGACTGGAATTTATATAAGCATTTTGTGCTTTTGGGGGCTCATTACTTGACAGTATTGGATGTTTTATTTATGTGTTTGTTTAACGTGTTCCAGTGGTTTGTGCAATATCAGCATTTTTTACTTAGTTTCATCTGTAATGGGTTATGTGCCCAGTTTTTATATAAGTAAAATACTGTGTATATATCTAATCCACGTCTCAGATAAAGGATGGTCAGACTCCCAATGAAACAGTACAGTGACCTTTGGGGAGATTCTGTGTAAAATCATATACAGTATGAATATTTGGTAATCATTAAAAACCAACATGGGAACAGGGTAAAATCAAAATGGAAAGTGTATTGCTAGTTTCTGTTTTGATTCTTGTTCTTTTATGAGCATTAAGGAGTAAGGGTGGTGAGATATTAAAACCTGACAATATTTCTTGTCGAGGAAAAAGCTGTTTTGTGATATCAGAGCATAACAGAACTTTCATTACAGGATAATTAATTAAAACATTTCAAAATGCACCTGCATCATTTTTCATTTTGTGACTTCCGTCAAATAAAAGACTATTTTTCCCATCATATAAACTGAAGATTTCTTTAAAAAGTGTTAAAATATCGCCTCGTCTCATTCTTGTGAACACAGTATTGCATATCGTCTCATTTCGTGAGCCAAGAGTATCATCACTAAGGAGGAATTTCTTCCTCAAGCCTTCCTTAATACTGACAAGAAGAGAGAGTAAAAACACTGTTGTGTAACTCTTTTTCTCTTCCCAGGAATTTGTTGAAAACAGTAAGAAAATGGGTCTGCAAGACCCAGGTGGTGGAGATAGGCACGAGATGAAATCCATGGTGAGTTATAAAGATCTTTGTGGTCCTACCAGTGTGGTAGGAAAGTAACCATAGAGCAAACAATCTTGTAAAGTGCTACAAAATGATCATAAACTGGGTTCATAGATGTTCCCTCACTCAGAGCAAGTAAATAAACTAACCACTCAGTTGTGTGGGATTTTAATACCCTTCAGTTTGTGGCTGTGAATGACACAATCAGATAAAGACAATTTTTTTGTGAATTTTTTTTTCTTCTTTCCTTACAGGCACGTGGAGGAACTTTTGCCTAACAAAGTGTTAGAAAGACTGCGAGAACCACTAGAACTACTGTAAAGATTAACTCAGTTTACCAGCATTTCAGTACAGGGGCATCATTAGGTTACAATACCTTTTATATAGAAGCTTCAGTGAAAGATGCACTAAGTTTTATTGATTATTTCTAAAACAAAGGCATTGCAAATGTAATAGTTGTATAATCAAATCTGATTTTGAGTTTGTTTTTTTTTATTATTAATAAGGTTATTTTTAGTCTAGTGTTTTGATTTGATTTATTCTTTCAAGCATGTAAAGACAGTTGATATATCAGCATACATAATTTTACACATATCCAACAAATGCTAATCCAATATCAATTTGCTTATACCTAGTACATGCTTGAATGGAGTAGGAAGAAGTCAGACTTATCCAGTCCTACCCCATGACATCATCTTACCATCATTGGTTTGCAAGCAGTAAATGATTCACTTCTACACACACACATATACTAAAAAAAGAATATAACAGTGTTAACATTCTTACATCACACAAGTAATATACTAAAGAATTATTATAAAATGTACACGACACCCACAATGTTCCATGTAATTAATCATTGAGCCTGTTCTTGCATATATCTTGATTGACACATACCTTTATATTTATGTTTAAACTCATCAATTCTATTACTATTTTTTATGTCTACACTTAAATTATTCCATAGTTTTACCCCACTTATAGAAATACAAAATCTTTTTTTGGTTGTACGTATAGCATGAATTTTTAAATTTAACTGACCCCTTAAATTATATCCCCCTTCCCTTTCATTAAATAGTTTTTGAATTCCATTTTATTTTGCATACCTGAGTTTAACATGTTTTAACTTGTTTTTTATTTTGCTCAGTGTATATTTTGAAATGAATAGCAAATTATGCTCTGTGAAAGGCTGTTCAGGTTGTTTATTACTTATTACATTTTATACTTAAATAAAAAAACTTAGTTTTATTGTTTGATCATTTTTCCCACATCTATAAACCCGGCAGAGAATCAGTCAAATGTATTGTGTCATGTAGTGTCTCCTCTCAAGCCACAGTCTCTTGCAGGTCATATCTTTGAGTTGGTAAAGATTTTTTATCTTATGATTATGATTTTAAATACTGTTCAGCAAAGTATAAGGTTTAATTTAATTGCTGTTCTATTAGAGGTTTTTAGTTGTAAAATGTAAAATATTCATGTTAGAGATGTTCCTCTGCCTACTACCCTCCTCAGCTGGAACACAGACAACAAACGTGCACTGAGACCAAATATTATACTGTAGCAAAAAGAGGGAAACTTTGCTCCAAATACTCACTTCAACCACATGAGGGTAGCAAATCCTGTAAATGCATGACATTTTCATTTTATATGTGCTCCAACAATAATGGGACCAAAATACCAGTATAACCTCATACCAGGGCTGATTTAGATGTTTAAGGTCCTCTGAATACACTTCTGTAAAAAATTAGTCATGTTGACATCCTGACTTCTCATGTTTTATAAAGTAATAAAAGAATGAGAAATTTGGTGAAAATGTTTAAAGATGAGTTTATATGTAGATGATTTATATTTGCATTGTTAGAACTGAACCAATCTCCATATATTCTCTGCAGTGTTTGCAATAGTTGAATTTTTGCAGATATTTATAACATTTTTATCACATATTTAGGATATGTTATCTCCATGTACAAAGGCAATTAGGTTGGTTTTTTGTACTTAACATGTAGACGTATTTAGAAGTAATTACCGTATATACATTGTAGTGTAGTTTTTTCCTTTCTTATAGTTTTGTTTGAAATGTACATGTAAATTATTGAACTTACCTTGTATGCTGAAATAACGTCGAAGGCTGCCTTCTACATTTTTTTCAACATACTATGACCTGGATAACTGAGAATTTGCACAGACAACTTGTCGATTAAAAATGTTCATAATAACCATGGAGGTAGACTGCCTTAAATGTGTTTTCCCATGGGTCCATCCAGTCTGCTAATGTGCAGATTACTGCCTCATCCCCTTGTGTTTTTTTTTTTTTTATTTAAATCCATTGACCAGGCAAGAATCAAGCCACTAAGCATTTAGAGGTTATTGATGGGAAAGCTCTCTCTCCGCTCTGCTGCCAGCCTCCATAAAACACAGGAATCCGGAGGAAAAACAGCCCAGTGGCTGGTAGTGAGTCACACCTAAGTGATTTCTATAGTGCTTATAGAACTCTAACCATTCCTGGAAACCCTTTGTCACAGGACTAAAAGGCAGGAAAACACTTTTCTCAGCAGCTCAGCCCAGATTATTTTTTCTTTCATTTGAATATTTATATTATAGTGAACTACGCAGGCAGACTCTTAGTTGTGAGTTACTGACTTAATGTTTACTGACTCAAATCAAACACGTTTCACTTCATATGAACATCATACCCTTAAAAACCTAATTTACATCTATATTGAAATATAAGAGGTTAGTTGTTTTTAGTATATTTTGTGGCCCATTTTGATATTTTTAAACCTCTATCTCAACATAATTCTCTTTGCAGGGTAGGTACTGATTATTTCATACACAGCCAGTGGATGAAATAACCACTTCATGACAGAAGCTCTAAAACTCTTGACTCAACTAGAAGTTTGCAACCACTAAACGTCCTATCCAGCCACAATATTAATGCCTGTTGTTTGCACTGACTCAGATGCAGCAGTATGAGCTTCCTAAGTGTGTGCGTTTGTGTGTGTGTGTCAGATTGATTACTGACCAACAGTGACTTAACCATTAAGATGAGCCATACTGTCTCCTCAGCAGCATGCCCTGGATGCTCAATTCAGGCCTTTTCAGTGGTGCTTACTTTTAGTACAGTACACAAACATGACTTGACAAGTCAATGTGAATAGCCCTTAAGGCTGTTAGGTATGTAAATAGAATGCAAAGCTAAAAAAAACAAACACTATAAAGCCTTGACAGGGCTCATAAGTGCCATTATCAGAGGAATAGCGCTCACCAACCTAATTCATACAAGTGTGGGTCATGTTTAACTTAGATTTTAAAGCCATTAAACAGAACAATCATCACACCTACCAACTGTATTATCTTTTAACAATATTGATATGGTTTATCAGGATATGGCAAATATCTACAAAAACATATTTCAGCTGAGGTTCAAAGATCATTCTTGATCTGGTTTAGCTGTTGATCTAACATGGGCAAGAAATCCTTAAAGCAAATTTGTCCTTAGCATGTTTTTGCAGTTAAAGATATTTAATGCACCTGTGATCAGACAGCTCACATATAAGCTAAAAACGGCGATTTTCATAGTTTGCTTAAATGAAGTGGCACTTCATCAATTGTAAATATAATGTTCAGCTTATATGTTAGGAGGAGTAGCCTGTTACTCTGTCTTTGAAAACAACTGTATAATGTCTTCTGTTGCTCTGTGGAGAGCTTTGTAAAGTTTGACAAACCCTGATTATTCTATTGGCTTTAAGGAAAATGCATAAATACAAGGGACTAAAGGTCAAGCTATCTCCACCTTCGATGCTTCAATCCTGGCAACTTTTTTGTCTGTCCTCCAACTTTGTAAAAGTGTAGTACTGAATTGCAAGAGTATCCCGTTAATTTCAACAACCACATTTGTTAAAATAACATAATATTGTCATATTTTATAGCAGGTCAGTGCAGCGAAGACAAAAATATTCCGCAGATGCTTTGGCAATATCAAAATATTATCTAATAACACAAACTTAGATGTTGATCACACTTCATACTGCTTACTCTTTGTTTCAGCACCAGTATTTCAACACACTTGTGCAGCAGCACTAGAATGCAGAGGTTCAGGTCAATTCAGTTTTATTTGTATATTGCCAAATCACAACAAAAATCGTTGGTGGCATATAAGTGCATGGAGGGGAGTGTAGAGAAACTCTGTCTGGATTAACTGGAGGCCTTTTAGGGACTTACTGAGACATCCTGATAGTAAAGAGTTACAATAGTCCAGCCTGGAAGCAACAAATGCATGGACCAATTTTTCAGCAGCACTTTGAGACAGGATGCTCCTGATTTTGTGCAGGTGAAGAAGGAAGTTCTAGAGACCTGGTTTATGTGTGATTTAAATGACATAACCTGGTCAAAAATGGCTCCAAGGTTCCTCACAGCAGTACTGGAGGCCGGGGCTATGTCATCTAGAGTAACTATATGGTTAGATAGCATCTTTCTAAGATGTTCAGAAGTACAATAACTTCAGTGATAAAAGAACTTGTGTCACAAAGTATTGCTAATTCAAGAAACCTGATTTTCCAAACCTCAAAAGAGCTTCCTGCAATTTGATACGTTTTCCATCGGCACTCAGTCATTCTGTCTCCCCGTACACCAGCAGATCACTTTTTATTGTTGGACTGTCTCCAACAGAAGCCTCCAGTGTGTGGAAATTTGCCAGTGAGATGGTATCTCTCCACATTTCTGTGGTCTGCACATACAGGTTGAGGAAAAGTGTGTGTTAAAATTAACATTTGATATTTACCCAGTGACTTCCCTGTCTGGAGCTGCTGACAGGTCCTGTTGCCAACACACACACACACACACACACACACACACACACACACACACACACACACACACATTTATGCACTGGGAGTTCCTGCAGCCTGCGCCCTGTGTGCTATGAGGAAAAGGTTTTAATTCTCACAGTGAAAAATGGGAAACAAACTTTTCCAGGGTGGCGAATGCGCCTTTTCCGGTACTAATTCAGTTAGTGTTAGGTGTTTTGTTCTACATGTCTACAGGTGTTTGTAGCTACTTTGTGTTGTACTGTATTAATGGTGTGTCTGTGTAGCAGTGATTCTTAAAATATTTACCTGTTCTACATAGTTCAGTATTTAAATTTTTTTTTTTTTTTTTGCATACAGAACTTTCAGTTTGTCACTGTTGACCACTATCAGCTGTTTCTTCTTTTAAATTTCACCCATTTCTACATTTTCACTTATGGCAGATGCTGTCATTTCATCTTTTAGCAACAGCTGTGCACCTTAAAACAGTCGACCTAAACTTTTATAGCACAACCACCCCTGACCCTCACCTGCAACCTTTCTCTTTTCTTAAATATAGGTACATAAATAGAAGTGAAACAAGAGAGACACAAGAGCTTTTTGCATATCCTCGGGGGAGGTGACAGTGCAGTGGGTAGAGCAGCTGTCTCCCAACCAGACGGTTGGAGGGTCAAATCTTGGTGCCTGCAGTCCACATGTCAAAGTGCCCTTGGGCAAAACACTGACCCTGCCCCTGATGGTTAGAGCCATCGGTTGAGTTGGCACCGCAGATGGCTGCCTTGATTCTGTACCAGAAACAAATTCCTTGTGTTTAACATACTTGGCTAATAAAGGTGATTATCCTTATATAGTGATGCAGTCAATCAAACATTGGTCAATATAGCTTTTATTTCAGCAAATCATATATACACTGTAAAAAAATGCATCTGAATCATAACCTTTAAACACTATCAGAGCTGTGATGACAGTGTGTGATTGGCTGATAGTGGCTACAGTGTCTGAGGTCATCAAAATGATTCGTTTGTCATCACACTCATGAGACGGCACACTTTAAGAGTGAAACGTTTTCCAGTTTGTAAAGTGAATTGAAATTCCAAGTTAAAAGGAAACGGCAAAAAGGAAATAAAGGGACTACTGGACAGTTAGATGGCACTTTTCAGGTCTTAACATGGAATTTCAACAGATGTTTGTGTCAAAATGAAGCCAGGTGGCAGGTAAACAATTGAAAATGAACATAGCACAACTGGTCCCAGGTCTGCATAAGCACTGGACCTATCAAGAATACACAAATCTGGGGTCAGTGTCAGTTTTCAACCCTGACAGATAAACACTATAAGTAGTTACAGCAGATCAGGTACAACTCAAACTTTTGAAAGAAAGTAACTGCAAAATACTGTAAGATTATCATCTTGTTTAATATAAAGCTGTCTAAACCAAAGCTTCCTCTAGCCAGTGTACTAATACTGTATATCTTATAAAATATTTTCAAATCCAGCAGAATCTAAGTGTTTGTTGCCTTAACTGCTAAGTATCTCTGTGCTTCTCTACATTCTAGCTATTCTATGTAAAAGCTCAAAATATGGCCTATGTAACACCATCATAACCCAAAACACAAGCCACACCAAAACCAAACTATCATCTGAGCTTGACAGTGAAGCCACTCTTCTTATGCAGGTCAGCTTAGGTCAGTCCAGTAAGCATGCTTCTCCTACTATTACTGCCATCTTTCTTCACCAGTAAAAGGCACACCTTACCCTTTGAGATATTTTCAACAGGTCTGCATGGCTCTGAGGTTTTATTACTGTGCGAGAAATTTGTTCTGTTACATTGTGTGCTCAAATGACGTTAAGTCGGAGACTCACACTTGAAATTGTAAAACCATCAGCACCACATCTTCTTCTGCACTCTGGTGAGCTTTTCTTTCATCTGACTGATGCATAAAAGGTCAGTAAACATTCTTATCACTCAGAATTGTGGCTTAAGCAGTTTATGACTATATAAGTGTAGCTTCTTCTGTACACGCTTGAGGGAATTTTAACCTCAAGCTCCGTTATGTTTTGAGTTCCACAAAGGTTTAACCTCTGGTTCTACAGACTGAAACGACAGCACACAGTATTAGACATACTACGACACATCTCATGTTTCATCTTCTGTATTCATCCAACAATGGATTAGAAAAATAGATAATAATATTTTCCCCCTAACACTGCCAGCCGAGCAGTAATTTGTCTTTCCTTGTTGCTGAGCCTTTGAGATGATCTGGCTTGATTTGTTTCTCAGTGAAAACAGTTAGCGTGTCGGTTCTGATTGTTATCCACCTCGCACTGTTTATTCCCCTTTAATTCTCCTAATGAAGCATGTCTAAAGCTTATCTTGTTTTTCCAGACAGCTACAGTCACAGTTACAAATCAAGATCAAAAAGAAAACTAAAGAGTGCAATATTCTCTTATCTACATGATCAACATCGCGCCTATACACAGGAACAGTTGATAAGGAGTAAAATGGCGGTGGTTTGGGGATGAAGGAATGAAGAAAGGGACATCTCTTCTACATTGCGCCTCAGGAGTTAACACACTGAGACATCAGAGCGCTGCACAAGGACTGGACACACTAAAAAACATAGACTGTCCAATGAGGGGTGAGATCTTTGCACACATGACCAAATCCAAATCACCAGACTGGCTGTCGATTACTCCTTGTCATTTTTCTTAGGTTGGTTGACACACAAGTGAACAAGTGCCATTAACCAATCATATTTTATACTTAGACGAGAAGAGAACGTGGTAAACGTTTGTCAGGATTTTTTTTTTAAGTCATGAACAAACAATACATGAAGAGTAGTCCATAGGCTGTTAGTACGATTAAGTATCTGCCTGGGGGGGTCACCTAGAAACGTGCAGTTTGACCAAACAAACGATTTTCTCTTTTTTATTTTGTTTTCTTTTTAAAGTTACGACAGATATTCATCGTTATCATCGTCACCATCCTCATCTTCATCGTCCTCATCGTCCGGCCCATCCCACCCCTGGTCGGTGAGGACAAATGAATCTTCATCATCGTCAGTGAAGAGAGAGTCTCCGCTGCCAAGGTCTCCAGAAGACTCCAAAATCACACCTAGAGACAGACATTAAGAAAAACTTACATATGACATTTTTTACAATTATTGGAATAAATATGAAGCTATAGCCAGCAGCTAGTTGGCTTAGCATGAAGACTGCAGGTGGAGAAACCTTATGCTAATCATAAGACCCAGTCACTGTGCACGAGCAAGAAATAGTTTGGCACATAACCTCCACTAAAATCACAGATTCTCATTTTGACACTTTGTTATTTTTGAACAGAGCCAGGACTTCTGTTCCCCTGCTTTCCAGGTCTTATGCTAAGTTAAGCTAACAGGCTGCAGCCTGTTGCTTCATATTTTTTGTACAGACTTGCTACTGATGTTCAGCTTCTAACTCTTCAAGAAAGCAATAAATGTAATTCCAAAAATTGTGTGGACTTTGCCTACCGCAGTCTGCGGGGCCATGGGTGCGTGAACCAGCCACCTCGTTGCCATAACGATCCACACACCAGCACTGTCCACTGCTGCTGTGACACTGATGTGACCTGTAGTAACCTTCCTCATCACAGGATGGAAGATACTGACCTACACATACAAGCCAAAGCACACAGTGAGTAAGGGTAACACACTGTTTGTGCCTATTTGTGCTCCTGTGTGTTTGAGTGTTTGTGTCTCACCAAGCAACTTCTTCCCCGCTTGCTTTTTGTTGATACTGGTCAGTTCTGCTTTACAAGGGGAATCTGAAAGGGAGAGATGTGGTAACAAACTGCAGAAGCCTGCTGTTCTGGGAATGCATCTGTTTCTGTGAACTTGGCCTCGCTTGTGTACGTTTTGCTCCCTTTGTGCAGCTCCAGTGGCTCATCTTTAACTATTGTTTTCTATGCCCATAAAACACATTTCTGTCATTTTAATGCAGTGTATTCTATTGTGTTCTGTTGCATTATATTATACAGGGTGGGCCACAGAAAAGTAGCCCGGAGCCCCAAGTACCTGGCTCCTAACACAGTATTGGAGGTGGGCTACTGTTCTGTGCTCTACCCTGTATTTTACAGAGTGCAGTGATGTATCCTGCATGTGTCAAGAAATAATAAGACCCTCTGAAGGTTGGAAAGTGTCTAGTATTTCTATGTATATAAAGGTTAGTGTGTAAGTGAGAGAAAAGTTCTGCTTTGTTGCAACTTGGACATCAGGAAGGAATTAATGAATTTATTTCGATGTGTATAACTATACAAATATGACAAAAGGGCCTATTTCCAAAAATGTCTTCATAAGACATAATAATAAAAAAAAACAAAAACACAAGAAAACATAGAAAATAAATAAATATGTCGTATGACAGACCAAAAGGACGCAGCTTATTGACAACTCCCCCTCTTACTTATCCAAAACATGTTAGCGTTGGTCATTACAGCAAAAACTATTTTCTTTATCTCTTTACAAAATTCTAATTCCAGACATCATTTGTTTACATTTTAATAATGTGTTTTATATTTGTTCATTAATTTAATTTTAAATAATTTTTTTTAACTTGATAAGTGTAGTGCATGTTTTTAAATGCTCAGCATAACTGTTCTATAGATTCACCTCTGACTGAAATACAATTTTTCTTTTTTAAATATTGGTTCTTATCCTTTGTTTTTCAAGAACACATGTTCCTCTCAAATTATACTGACTTAACCTTTAAAGACTTAACCATACCTGTGTACCTCTGGAAGCATATACACCACTCAGAGCTGGTTAAAACTTTGTCAGCATGCGTGTCACAGGATTTGAAGAATGCATCAGAGCATGGCTCGTTCCTGTCCAGGTAGAGGCTCTTGATCTCTAATTGGTCCAGCTGGAGGTCAAAGTTTGTGTCCAAGCGGGAGAACATCCACCCCAGAGGGTCCTTGCAAACAGGTGATGCCCCGACTTCAAACTCTGCAGGAGAAGGACACAGACAAGAAAGCGTTGGGCATCTCAGTGGAACAATGACTGTGATGATACATGACATAATGTGTGTATTTTTTCCTGTCTCAACTTCGCTAACGCTGCGTGACTCACTGTTCTTCTCTGGCTTCTGGATCTTGACTCTCTTGTGGTTGCCGTTCTCATGCAGCACTCGGAACCAGTCTCTCAGACGGCTCACAATCTCCTTCAGGTCAGACTCACTGCATACTGAGGAAAAACAACACTAATGATTAACGATGATAAAGTGATGTTTTATTGTCCCCTTACACCCTTATGTTAATGAGAAGTCAGAGTCAGCCACAGCACAGCTGCCCTGAAGCTTGTTAGCATTCTATATAATGGTAAAATACATTTTAGGAGGGCTTTAGCTAGGAGGTGCCTTGAGCATGGCCTTGGTCAGAACAGAAGACTTTTTAATTAAGGAGAATTTACTGTTTCTTGTGCAGAGCCATGTACCTTTCTTCTCTGCAGAGCTCTGTTCAGTCCGAGAGGGACAAGGGCACATGCTGGAGCATTTCACAGCGATCTTCTTTCCTGATATGCATGCCTGGTAGTCTAACTTACACTAAGCAAGACAGGTAGATATAGAAGAGGAAGTAAAATCAGAGGATGTGTTTAATCAAGATGAAATAAAAAAAAACAACCTGTTTGATCAATTTTTTGTATGGGTGAGAGAGGAAGTGCTTGTGAGTGCATGTGTGCAGGTACCTTGGTGGAATAGGTGTGGCCATCAGTTCCACAGACAGGAGAGGGATGAACCACAGGGCAGGGTTTGCACTTTGACCCTGGACTCTGGTACAAATTAGCATCTTTAAAACTAGAGAGAAGAGTGAAAAGATTTATTTTACATACATTAAACATCTTGCCGTATGCATACAGCATGAAAAGATTTAAAATGATGTATCATTTGACACTATCTTTCATCACTTTGCACCGTTTTTTCTTCCCACGAATGTTTGCGTATGTGTATTGTCTTGTTCTTGCATCAATTTCAGAAATGAGAGAAGGATTTAGGATTTGCTTGTACTGTGCGGTTGTAATTGTGTTGTTGCTAAGAATGGATAATGAGGTCAGTATGGCGTTAACTGTCCTCTGTTCAGTCTGCGGTGTCCCAGACAACAACACACACACACACATACAGAGCCCATTCATATCACTTGGCAGGACTTTGGGTTTGTTGTAAGGCAGTGCCAGTACTGGGGTAATTGGACTCAACAGTAATGTCACACAACAATCACAGGAGAGCCAGGCAACCAGTAGACTAAGTGGGAAAGTGGAAAAGCAGCCACTGCTGTGCTGTTGTTGTTTATCATGCTGCATGAATAAGTGAGCAATCAAGAGAGAAGAAATAAAATGGAAAGCGATTTGCTTCTAATACACATTTATTTGTGTTTCATTTGTGGCTTTGTCACGGAAACATCTGAGTTCAAATTTAAGCGACAGCTTTGAAACACGGGCCTGTTTAGAATAGCAAGTGTGTGTGTGCGAGTGTGTGCGTACTTACCTAACTCTCCTCTGGCTGACACAAGTGGCAGTCTTATAATCCTCAGCCACACACACCTTGTGGCGACTGCATTTGATCTTCAGACAGGGGTCTTTGGTTGGATCAAGACCTAAAAACGCAAAACAGAGATGCATTGTAGATTGAGGTGTTTATATGTTTACTGTGTGTGATTGTGCAACCGATACAGAGCCTGTTTAACTCTGTTTAAAGAGTTTCCTAGAGAGACTAAACCCATCAGCAATAACAGAGAGAAAATGTTTCCAGGTTATATATTCCTTTTGTTCTTTGAAGTTCTAGCTCAATGATACCTAGATAAACCACCACCATTAACATTTTACCGATCAAAGCTACTCTATGTGGACAGAGATCTGTGTGTGTCTTACTTTTAGCCATAGTCGTTTCATGTACAGCATACTGACAATGTCTCTCTCAAACAGAACTCGAAACCTTAATACCATTAAGTATCCTTCTAGCTAAAAACAGGTGTTGCTGGTTATAAAGGCTTCTTGTGACTTTACATCATCCTGCGCTAAGTGTTAGCATGATGTGTGCTCCTGCTGAGATCCTCAAACTGATCTCTAATCCACAGCTGAAAGCCATATTTGGCTCTTAGGGTAAGAGCCGACTTTGGATTTGCAGAAGGTGTGAATGTTGTTGGTAAAAATAAGCAAGCTGTTTCTGACCAGCCGTCAGCAATCAACGATGCACCTGCAGTATGTGCAGGATCTAAGACCCCGAGCTGATCTCAAAACACTGTGTGAATGACTTCTCCTCTAAAGAACCTTACTGTAATCCCTGAGCAGCTTTGGCAGATTATCCCGCCGCCATCCTCCTACGCCCCATCTAATGCTATTGTTTCACTGACATGTCTGCGTTTGGATGCATGTGTGTGAGTGTTTTTGAGGATAAAGTGATAAGTGAGAGTGAATGTGTGAATTTGTGAAGTTAAAAGATAACAGATGCCGATACAATTTTTGGTACAATAAATGTAGGGTCAGCGGCTCCTGTGATCTGTTTTACTTAATCAGAGTAGCATGACCAAGGATAAGACAAGATCTTCAGCACTCCTGTCTTACTGCTCTGATTCCTGATGAGTCATAGGGCTGATACTAATTGGTCATCACATATTTCAAGCAACAAAATGTTTCAGAACATCTACATTCCAATCAGTATCACTGCGTGTACTTTAATGCAGATACACATTCAGATTAAACATTAAAGAAATTCTATTAATGAAATACCAAAATCAGTGTTCATCTTGAGAAGTGGGATGAGGTGTCTTTATCTGTTCTACTGTTTTTGCTTTTTCTTTTTTTTAAGTCAAAAAGCCAGTGGTAGAACCACGCATGCTCTCTCACTCACACCCACCTTGATCGAAGGGCTTGGATGGAATCCATGTTCCAGGCTCCTGAAACGGTCAACCAAAAAATAAAATCATGAAAATATGATTTCAATAGCAACTAGAATAAATTATACACGTCAGATACAAGAATATGAATTAGTCAATACAAACCTCCACTTCCTTTAGGAGAAAGCATTACAAAGACAGAGAGTAAGAAATACATTCTGATTAGTTGTTTGTTTGTTTTTTTGGTGGGGGTGAATAGAAATAAAGAAAACTCTCAGCATCCCTGTCAGACACATGGAGCATGCACAATGTATATGTATACAAGTGATGGTTTGACAACAGTTCTCTGTGGTTGTGTGCAAAAAAACAGGGCCTGTGGGTCTTTGTGTGCATGAGTGTGTGTGCTTATCACTTGTATCACCAAATGGAAGTTTATATACCATACATGACATATACAGTATACAGATCCTGCCATATCAACAGAACAGATTGACAATTTTAGTATTCTTTTCAGGTTTCGGGGTTTAAAAATGCAATTTAAAGTGCAGTTCAATTACTGACTATGACAGGCTTTAGCTATTAACAGATAAGTGTAGGGGAGAGTAGGGCTTAATGTCAAGCTTATGTTTTAGATGTGAATTATGATCAGCCAATAATATCTGCACTGCACTACAGGGCAGAAACACACGACTAGTCTTTTTAAAACCCAATTTACTGTGAGATGCATCTGACCGACTGTGTTCCTCATCAACACTAAAACATCTCATGTGTAGTTGACAAATTTTGTCAAGTATTAAAAGCTCAAAGAAGTGAAAAAAATATTCAATTCACTGAATCACAGTGTAATAAAAACTGTTCATATTGGGCCATATATACAGATTTAACAAAATGAACTAAATTATTGTCCTGTGTGAGGCTCTTGGGTCATCCCCTCTTTCCCCATGTGGCTTGACAAAGAACTGTTTTTAAAATCCTCCTAGTCAAACTGTTCAGTTCATTGCATGTGGATGTGTTTTCACCGTCTGAATATGGAACGTGATAACTCTCACTGTCTGGTATACACTCGGTTCTGTCTGTGTGCATCCATTCAGACCTTTAGATCCAGAGATGCTGCTGTTTCCACGCTGTCATCTCTCTCATTCTGTCACAGCGATAACCTTCATCCACCTTCACTCACACACATGACTACACACGCTTGTGTCTGCCATTTAGGTAAGTACTGAGCTGATTTACAGTCATTCTTTGGAGACTTAACTTGAGCATAGCCATAACCATGCTTACTGTAATCACAAGTCTTATCCTTGGCTATCTCCTTTTTGTCCCCACATGGGAGGTAAATCATCATGATGCAACTGTGTGAACTGATTCTGTCCTTACTATCTGAAGAATCATACATCATTTCTTGCTTCAATGATTAATAATCTATTAGTTACCTGATGGATCATAGTAGTCAAGCCACTCTATCTGTTGCTTTGACACTTAGTGTAACCTGGAAACAGACAAATCTTTCTGTCTCTAAATTTGAGACTACAGAACAATGAAGCTAAATGTCCTTCAGAAAAGGCTCCTTTAAAAGTGAACACTGAAAACTGTTCATCCAGGGGATGACAGGCTCAGTAGGTGGAGCAATCGTCTTCTAACCGGAAGGCCGGCGGTTTGATTCCTGTTCTCCCCAGTCTGCATGTCAAAGTGTCCTTGGGCAAGACACTGAACCCCAAGTTGCTCCCGATGTCTCTTACAGGGACAGTGCCATCATCAGTGTGTGTATGCTTGTGAGTTGGTGCCACAGATGGCCTCCTCAGTTCTGTACTAGGGACATATTCCTTGTGTGTGTACCATACTTGGCCAATAATGATTTTAGTTTTCACTTATTTCATTTTTAAATATCCAAAATTTACATCATCAAGTACTTGATAAAATACTGAGGATCCTTTTAAAACATAATACTGTGACAGCTGCAGTGGTAGTAAAATTGCCAGTACCAAGTTTCATATTCCAGCACTGGTATAGCAGAAAGATTGTGTGGTCCTTTGGGTAGCTTCAAGACTGACCGGTTGGTTGAGAGGAGTTCTTGGTGAGTGAACAGGTTTATAATTATGTTTTATAAAGATGCAGTACTACACTATACTCTAAATGAGAAAACATTGCCTCCTATTTTATCTTCCTGCATTGCTTCATTGCAGTTTTGTAAAGTTTTGCTGTTTTGCTTTAACAAGCTGAATTTTCTTCAGGAAGCTAAAGTATGTTTATATCTTGTTTTGAGTCGAGTTGTCTGCCACGCTTGTTTATCAAATGCTATTTCAGTAGCGTAGCCTGTACTGTACTTCCTGTATTGTTACTGCTAAAGGAAATGCACACTTTTTTCACATATTGTAGTTTGACTCAAGCATTTCGTATTAAATGTTGCTCAACCCAAAGTACTTAATTCCATTTTCTTTTAGAATGTCAGTGAAGCGAATTTGCATCAGTTATAATACACTGCAATGAATGAATTGTTCCAGCCCTGCCAATGCACTCGCTGACTCAAGACTGCACATTATGTATGGTAGGTAACCTTTAACATCAAAACCCTTCATGTGAAATTTATTAAAACTCAGCTAATCTTAACTGGATCATTAGGTCTTCCTGAGGACTCAGTACTTTGTATTATGGACCTGACATAGTCACAAAAATAAAGTATGTGGTTATATGTGTATTTGTGTACATGTACAGTGCATATAATATATGTCCCAAACCCACAAGATCCTTGATATTTCTCAAAAAGCATGAATTTAACTGTAAGGGAGTCTCTCACTACAAGGTGAACTGGGTCAACTACTGCTTTTTATCAGCCTTAATTCATTTCTTCATCTTGTCCTGCATTGCTCATCCTTCTGATCCTCTGCACTTTCACTAAAGACTACAGCACTTCTGTTTCTCTACTTTCCCCTATTAAATGGCCGATAGCGGCTCTGCCTTTGTCTTTCATTTCTGTCAGATTCTGGACTGCACACATTAAAGGTTATATCATCTACAGTACATATGAAAAGAGCCCATACTTTGAAACCTTAGCAAAGATAAAGCCAAGCAGCAAGGGGCTTTTGTTTCTGTTTAGGATGGATCCTTCATAGAGCTCCAGACTGTGGAGACTGAACAATGAGAACACTGCATCATGGAGGCCAGGCCCTCTAGACCAGCGAAGACAGCAGAAGTACTTGCGGTCTCATTCCTTAATGGAATCGACAGACACACACACACACACACACACACACACAAACATACACATATCAAAGCACACATCTGCACCTCCACATACACATACACACCTCTATGCACAAACAAACTTACCACCACAACACTGGGAGTCTGTCAGTACTACAAAACATCCAGTAGCTCAGTGAATGCACTTCACTGCACATGCTGCCAGCCACACACTTTTCTAACAATCACAAAAAAACCTAAAACTCAACAACAGGTCTAATGGCCTCCTAAAAATAGTTGCTTTTCAATTTATTTCTCCATCTCCTTCCAACCCTATTCCTTTCACTCCACTGTTAATAACTTTTTTCCTCATGTGCACAAAAACGCATAAACATGACAGTATGTGTGATTGTACTCTGTTGGCAAACATACTAATTCTCTACTCTGCCTATTGATTTTGTGTTTTATCTGCATGTCCACAGAAATAAGTCCTCATAAGTATCTGTTTTTAACTTTCTCACCTTTACTTCATCCCTCCAAAATAATGCGTTTTATGGCTTCCTTGCCTTTCCTGGCTCTTTGCTACATTCCCACTAATATCCAACAGGAGAAACATGTGTGTGTTATCACTGTACTGGCTCGACTTGTCTTGCCCAAGCTTGTTGCATGCATGCACGCACAAGCACACACAAATCCACACTGGGGTGCTTTGAAGTGGAAAAGGCCTCAAGCTCTGTACCTTCCCTACATTATTCACCCTCCACAATACCAACAATGCAGGACAGACATGCACCGTAAAAACACACAAACAGAGGAGAACTAATGAGAGGACAACATGTAAAGGTGGACTCTGCCCTAATGAGCCTGGTCTACACAGCCTAATTTACTCGTATACCATAGAACCAAGTATCAGGCACATCATCACACATCAGTTGTGTTTTTCCTTTCATTGTTAAACATATCTTTCTCCTTAGCTTATCTCTTCACTCTGTGCCAGTGCTGTATGCGAGCCAAGGTCCAGCAAGTGGAGCAGAATGTGTAAAAAAACAGAGATGGCACCAGCACAGCAAAGACAGCCTCAGGCATCTCCAGTCATCCTAACCGAGCCTACAGTAAATCAGTGGTCAAGATCCTATCCAGTGCACTTAGCAGGAGAGCTAAGCTTATGGCTCTTGCTGATGGATGAAAGCAACAGTACATACCTAAAACTGTATGTAGAATAGAATACTGCAATAGAATACTAGTACATAATGCAGCTGTTCTGAGAAAAGGAAATGTATACCTCAGAATACTAGGATTACTGTAATTGATTCAGGTATTATGATAAGATAACACTAGTGCAGCTAAAGTTTTCCATTCCAAATGAAAATTTCCAGATTTTGTATAAACCACTGGCATGATAAATAAGTTCACAATGAACTATGTAAACTGGATGTTACTGATTAGCATCAAAAGCTGTAACAAATCCTTTTATTCATGGCGTGAGGGACAGTAGTGTTCATACAGTTGGAGGTAAATATCAAATTATTCTAATGTAGCTGAGGTTATTTAACCATTTAGTTAAGATTTTTGGCATTATGTCTTAATTTGAGGTATTGGTGTACTTTTGTAAAACTTTACATCATTACTGAACATTACAGTCATTATGTTGTGATGCTTGACCCTACATGAGTTACACTAATATATACAGAATATACTGTAGTTTGCTTGACTGCTGATTCAGTCAGTGAAACAAGTTAGGCTAAACCTGGTAGTGACAAACAATCAGTGTAAGAACTTGTTTTTGTGATGCAACCAGTTTAGCAATGAGTAAACTAATCTTGTGACAGTACTGGGTTGCATATGTTCCATTATGCATGGTTGTATCAGTCACAATTAGCATCACTTCTACCTACAGTATAATTAATAGATTCATATAGAAAAATTGACTCATTGCTCTCGTCCGAAAATATTTTGGTCTAGTATGGAATGTGTAATTTGGCTGTAATTGTACAAAATCACTTGTTAAAACCCTTATACCAATTCTAGAAGAAAGGACTTAATATAAAAAATTGTTTGGTGAGCCTGTGTAGAGTATTTATACAACCTCTGTACTACTGGAAACACCACTGGTGGTAATGCAAATCTAACTGGCAACAAACATGTCTTTTTAGTTGAATGTATTCATATATTGTACTAATAAACTCCTATTTGAAAGAAAACAAAAACTCACTGCTACACGCAATCTGGGACACCGCACAAAAACAGGAAATAAATGGCATGAGCCTACATAGAGCGCACAATGGCCCCTCTAATGCCTGAGTCCCAAGGTTACAACACAACATGAATCCACACATACCCTTCAGCTAAGTCAGCATTTTACATTTCACCTGTCTATCTATCTATTTACAGTATCTATCTATCTATCTATGTTCTAAATAAGTTACCTGTGCAGTCATTGCCACTAAGGGTATTTATATGCTTTCTCGACTCTCTCTCTCTCACACACACAGACACACACCATCTTTGTCTCGCTGTATATATCTGAAAGTGTTAAGCTCATCTTAAATAGCACAGCACTTGGTCAATCACATTTCCTCTCTGGTATTCGGTTCTGATACCCTATGTGCACACTTCAAATCCTGTCCAGTAGTTGAGATGTACAATATCACATGGGACTAGTTGAGCAGCTCACACACTGAAGTGTGACTGGTAGAGAAAGTGAGAGAGAAAAGGCCTGTTACAAGTAACAGATAAAACATGTTTTAAGAAGACAGCACTTGTCCTTATCTTTGAAATTAAAAAGACCGCCTAGCTTTATCTCTTTCTTTGACATCAAATATATCAAAGGCTTTAACTCTGATAAACACTTCTTCATTGAAGCTAGTCTGTGTGTATGAAAACGTTTATTTTCTCTGGTGCATTATTTTAATCCTGCTGCTTTTGTAGCACTGTCAAAGTGTAGCTCCTGAACAAAAAGTCTGTTTCTCATAATTTGTGTCTGCACATGTGCAGACCGTGCTTATTGTGTGTGTGTTTTCTTGTTTTTCTGAATTTGTGGGGCCTGAAATCCAGAAGTTACTATCTTCACAGGGACCGGTCTACTTGTGGGGCTGGACCCCAGGAGTAGTTGGTCGAATTTCATGAAAATGACAGGGTGTAAGGTTAGAACAAGTCTCTGCTTTGGGTAAGGGTTGGTTAAGGGTTAAGGTTAGGCAAGTAGCAGATCTAGTTAAGGTTATGATGAGTCTCCTGGAAATTAATGAAAGTTTATGCACATACCCACAAGTGTGTTTGTGTGCACGCTCAAGTACAAATCATTTCTAGTTATGGGGACCAATTTATTCTGTGGTTAAAGTCAAGCTTTTCATCTAATAAATATACTCCACTTGAAACCGGCATAAACAAACACTTTACCTTGCACTCTACCCCTTTCTTTTCCACTGTCTTTCATCTGTAATCTACTGCTGATACTGTATGTATTTTATTATTAGCTAAAAACATACAAAGCCCAAATATGTGTGAGTGTCACACTACTGGGAAACCAAGCACTTTCTTACTGAAAGGCTGATGTTTAATGAACAAAGCTGGTACTGAAAAGCATGAATATAGTCATTCTTTGCCGCAACGTCACAGCTGAGTGCCATGCTCACAGGATGTAATGGTATGTCATGACCATATTCCACTAATAGACATGGTAAAGGTGTCTGAGAGGATGCTGCATAATCAACCAGATCAGTTCAAACACAGTCACTGCTGGGTGAGAGAGAAGGCCACTGGGAGAAACAGATGTATCGAGACACCTTGTAATATTCCTTTAATTGTGCCATAGGACCCCACAGTCGGTCTGTGAGTTTACACTGGACTCTATTTTGTAATCTTTGTATCGTCGTGGAATTAAACTATACAACAAATATACAACAAAGCTATTAATTTTTTTTTACAATAAAATTCCCATTCCTAACCAAACAGCACGGAGTCCCTCCCTGAACCTGCCCATTATTAGCCCCCCCTTCGGGAACTCAATGGCACCTCTCAGGGAACAAGGCGACCTGCGCTTATGTTTTTCAGAGGCCTTAGCTGACTCTGTGAAGCAGGGAATGCTGTCGTGAAAACACATTCACGGTCAAAGATCATCCTAGTGTCATGTGTGTATTTACTGTCTCAGTGCAGCGGGTGATGAGCGTGTGACAAACACCACGACGGGCCCCGCGTGACGCGTCGCTTGGACACAACGAGACGAGGAGCGCATCACAAGCTAATGAGGGTGGATGTATAGAGACGGGGGATGGGTGTAAACGGGATAATGAGGACGGGAAATACGTCAATAATATAAGACATAAATGTTACTTACATCTCTGAATTTATCCCATCTCCCAGCGAGCCACTTATCGTCCAAAAAATTGCCGCTGTCTGAGCGAGCGGAGACGTGTCCAAAGGCGACGGCGCACACACACAGCAAGGCGACGCTCAGCATCTGCGGACATACAACAACAGCGCGGAGAGAGGACATCGGACCAGGCTGTATATACGCTACAATTGTGTTTAAAACCTAGCCATTCAAACTGCATCACATCAGCGACGAAAACGAATCATCATCATTGAATATAACGGTGCGGTTGGGTCTTTTCCTACCTTGCCGCATCAGCTGCTCTCCAGACTGTATGTGCTTGCTGCCGTTTTCTGTCACTAGTAATAGCAGCCCTCTCTCTCCCTCCCTCCCTCTCTCTCTTTCTCTGTGCGCAGCATTAGACGTGAGCGCGCCTAGCAACGTGCACCGGGCCTGCGCTCTGTTTTCCTTGTTTCCCTGCCTCTCCACCGTGCGGAGGAAATGGTCATGATGACTCTCTGTGGGCTGTTATCAGGCCACCGCAAAGTGTTTCCCAGTGATTAGGCTTATGAAAAAGAAATTGGGCAATCCTTTGATTAATGGTAGACTGAAGAAGGAATGTTTATAAGACAGCAAAAATATAAAAGGATGTAGCAAAGTTTTACCTATTGTACCTTAGAAGCAAACATAAAGACATAAGGTCACCGTTGACTCGTTGTGGAGACCCTTTTCTTTTTCAAAATAAATACCTGTTCTCCTGTGTGTGTTTTTTTTATTTATTTATTTCTCCCATGTTTCTGTACTGTTAGCAGTGCAGCCACTGGGGCTTGTTTGTACTACAGTGACTTAAGAAAGAATTTCATTCATATTCCAGGCAGATCAGGAATGTAAATTACTGCAAGATAACATGTTTTCCCATTCTGGATGATTTGTGAAGGTGGGTGGAGCTGTTCCTGGTTCTCACTGGGACATGCAACATCCAAAACATTCCAGAGCGGCTGTGTGTGAGTGTGTGGCATTTCTAGAGGGAACATTGGTGCACTTGACAACAACAGGGGCTGCAGTTGCAACTAATGTCATCAAGATTCTTCTTGTATGTTTGAGAGCTGCTCTTCATAGGTAACAAAAAAATGTCCAAAAAATATTTTCTTCATCTGGCGGAAAGTGTTGTGTAACATGTCAGGTCAAAAACGCTCATTAATGATCAGATACACAGAGGTCTGATGGCTGCAAAGCCTGTAGCTTATAATTTTCATACTTTCCAAACTTTTCAGTGACCCCCTCAGTTCATTATCGTTTATTTCGTTCAAGGATCTCCTCCCCTCTAAAAACATCTCCCACTTCCTGTCAGACAGTCGGAACCTGTAACCTGAAGGAACAGAGTACATTCTGGTAACTAAGATTTGAAACACCAGAAAGAAATGATTTTGTGAAAATGTGATACCCTGTAGCTTTTTTTGCATCAGCATGCACACCGGAGTGTCAAGAAATGATTTACTGCCAAATTATGTTTGATTATCATGCTCTATTGTCTCAGCATGCTAACGTCTACACTCCAGAGAACAGAGGTCTTCACAGGTCGTCAGTGTCCCCCCAAGCCCTGTATCAAAGCTTTTGCATTTGTCTTGTTTCTAAAATTTATTTAGGTTCTGTGGCTGAGCAAGCTAAAGAGATAGCCAGAGAAGAGGAAGCTGTGGAAATAAAAAAGCAAATACTGTGTACACAAGGAGAATATGAGGATGCCATATTAGTTATATTACTGTATAACCAAGTTCTTTACAGAGAAGCCTGGTGTTTATAAGCAGGTCACGGCATTGGTATGCACAGCTGCTGTAGACACCAACCTTGACATCAGCTTCACATCTTCATAAGAGGGTGTGGAAAAGCAGTGTGTGGGGAAGATGACAGGGTGCACATATTTGAAAGTCAAATTAGAACTATGAAGCATGCATAACTGCATCATAGAGACACAAGAGTGTATCATGTGGCATGTGCAACTGATGCTACATGGAAAACCGCACACAAAGGTACAGACAAAACAAAATGTTTGAACTGAGTTTTACCTTCACTCAAGCAGGAAGTGTGCAGCATATAAACAGGAAAATGAGAAACCATAGTGGGTGATAGAGCAGGAGGTGTCAGTCTACTTTGTTCTCTCAGATCAGCACAAGGTTGATCTAATCTTGGTTATGACAAGTCAGTTGTGATGCTGGTGGTGTGCAGCGCTGTGGGTGACGTGCCCATTCTTTTATAGCTTACTGTTAACTTGTGCTTTATGACATTTGTGCAAATGGAAGCAGTGAAAGAGCTGTTGGGTGTGTGTGATGTTTTCCAGCCCAAGGGGGTTCATACATTATTCAAATCTTAGACATTAAAGATGTAGATGTGGTCAGAGACATATGCAGGAGACACACACATACACACACACATACACATGCATGCCCACACAGACCTTTGTTGATGTCTAATGAAACTGCATAGATTTTTGCATTCCACTCTAGTTTGAGTCCCTTTTTTTTTTTTGCTCCTTTAAGTAAATTCATGACCCTCACACATTGTTGACTCAATCTCTACACAGGCTGTGAGAAAGAGACCAGAGAGGAGAGATGGAGAAAAGAAAGGGTTGAAGAAAAATAGGACAAAAACAACGTAATGTGCGGGTGAGGGTGGGTGCGCCTGTGTATGTGGATGGGAGGGGCATGAAATGTGTCTCAAGGAGTGGAGATTTCACAGCTCAGTGACTCTGTCACTGTGCACCTGCTCACTGACATGGTGAGAGGGAGGAAATAAGTGGAAAGAGGGAGATGAGGTGAGGGTATTTAGGGTAAAAGAAATCTATCAAGGGAGAATTAGGGTAAGCAAACCATGGGAATGTATTCAGTAGAAAAACTAGGCAAGGCAAGACAGCTTTATTTATATAGAACATTTCATACACAGAGGCAAGTACATCCTCATGTAGCTGAACTCACTTCAAACCCATCGACTAATATCTGGTCTGCTGTAAGAACCTCCTCTTGTCTTGTTTTCTACAAGATCTTAGAACCTGGCTGCAACAAGCTAAATTGCAGAGAAAATGAGGTGTGTCTAAATCTTTAACTGCAGGTTTCCTACCATTTTTGCTAAGTAGAAACAGTGATATAGAGGTTTTATAAGGTTGCATGTACATTTTTGTGTGTATTTGCTTGGATAGGTGAAAGTCAATGAATATATTTTGAACATGGCTGTGTGTGCACATGTGTGTGTTTGAGGGAGAGAGCCAGAGAGCAGGAGAGGGAGTTGTCTGGCAAAGCAGGCATTTCAAGCTTAGCTGTGACTATCAGGTCAGCATGGGTCCTATATTTTAGCTCCAGGATGAAAAACTAATAGTAGTGACAGGAGGGAAACTGCAATCAGGAGATAAGGCAGACAGAAACAAAATGCCCAACGCTGACAGGACTGATTACAGAGCCACTGAGTGAGCATTAGAGAGGACAAGGAGCTAGAGAGAGAGGGGGGGATGTAGAGAGAGGCTGGGAGAACAGGACAGAACAGGGTGAGCGATACAGGAAATGGATGGACAGATGTTTTGACCTCTGAAATCCTGTAAATTACATTCAAATTATTTTTGTGAATTCTGAGAAGGTAACTGTTTTTTCTGTGAAGTACAGAAATGTGCATCTGTCACATTTTCTATGATGTAAAATGACTAGTCTATGACCAAAAAGTAAGAATTATGGCTTCCTTTCCCAACTGTCTGTGAATAATATACATCTGCTTTTGTGCAATCCAAAAGCATTCAGTTGGGGTTTTCTATTTTAAGTTACCATTTACATATTATTGCATCAATTTTCCCACCCCAGGTTTCAAGTCAGGAGACCTGGAGCTGAGTCATGCGAAATCTGTTAAAGTTTCTTTGGATGTGGTTCTGGTTATAAACATACAAATACAAAAATACCAATAGAGGTGTGATGAAGAGCAGAACTGGTCACTGGAATATTATTATGTATCAACTCATGAGGAGAGAGGGCAGTGTATTTGATCATGGAGTTTGTTCTCCCCCTGGTGGTGATTACTGCACTTACACTAAACAGAAAATGTTAGTGAAATGCACTTGTTATTCAACAAAACAGCACTTCATTGTGTAGATATACATTCAGTGGCCACTTTGTTAGGTACACCTATAACTGCAGAAATTCCCCATCAGGCAGCAGAGCTGTAAACTAGGCAGTTGGTCAGTGTTTCCTACTGACAGGTGGCCAACTCATTGCATTTTTTTTTTTTTTTTTTTTAGTGTCTCATTGGCACAAGTTTCAGAACCTTGATGTCATTTTTCAAAACTCTAGACACAAAAATCCCAACCGATGATAAAATAAACATTTTTCAAAATGTTAACACATTAACCAGATATCACCTGTTTGTTGAACTGACATCACCGGTTCCAAATGACACAACGTTCAAGTATTATACTGTTTCACACTGGAGATGACTGTCTGTTCATTTCATTACAGTGATCTAGCTGTCACTTGATACAGCTGCTCAAAATGATGAGTTACTGTTGCATTCCTCCTAAACCATAGTTTCATGGAAACCGAGGAGCAATATCCCATTTTCTCATAATAAAGATTTAAGGATAACAAGATCCACTGGCACCATTTTGTTTTGCTTTTTGTAAGGCAGGTGAGGAACACTGAAGGTTTTTTGATTGATGCTTTCTTTTAAAGGGAACCTATGTTGTGATTTATAGTGTTATATTTCATTACAGTTTTTTGCAGTTGCTAACATCCATTTGTCCATTCTGTATTCACATTTTCAAAACTCTAAACACAATTATCACAACATCTGTTTGTTGTAACCATACCATTAATACAATTAATGTCGTTTTCACACAAGATTTAGTCAATGCACACGTTTCTAAAATGCTTACATTTTCTTTTCACACAAGCTTACCCCATAGCAAAATAATGGATCTTTCAAATATCTCTAACAAATGCTTAAACACATCATGACAGAATTGAAGACCTAATGATCCAAACTTTAAATATAATGTAAAGCCTCTACTTTTGCCACAACAGCTCAAAGAGCTGATAAGAATTATTGTTCTACTTGGGAAACAGCTGGTTCCAATTTGTCAGAGAGGAGCAAATATCACAATGTGCGCTGCAATCTCAAGTGCTGGTTTGGTCCTGCAGAAAAGCCAGATAGGTCCCTATGTGTGTGTGAATGGGTGAATGGTGTATGATCTCCTGTAAAGCGCTTTGGCCAGTGTAACACACTGTGAGAAAGCGCTATATAAATACAGTCCATTTACCATGATCAAATGTCCCTTCTGGATGCAATGGAGGCTGGCTGCAGAGACATCTCAGCTGAAGATTGCCAGGGGTGGATAAGGCATTCTAAACGTTTCTTTCCAAGGTGCATAGCAAGAGACATTA